AATAAATTATATAATAATAATAGATTAATTAATAAAGAATATTATTTTAGTAGAGATAAAAAATATAATAATTAAAGATATAATAAATATATTCTTAATATATTTTTATATATATTATAAAATCTTTTTAGTAATAATAAATAATTATAACTTTCAATTTATAAATAGATTTTTGAAAAAAGTATATAAAAACTATTAATATAATAATATTTATTAACAATATTTTATCTATAAACTAATAATATAATAAAATATATTAACTAGAAAATCGAATATATTCTATATATATTTACTATTTATATATAAAATAACTAAAAAAAACTACTATTAATTATTACTATTATAATCAATAATTATAATACTATTATTACTAGAATATCACTATTCTTCTTTATCTATAGATATTATATTAGCCTAATTAAAATTAACAATATTAACTAATTAAAAGATATCCTAATATAACTAGAGTTAATAAATAAAATCTTTATAAATTATTTATAAAAAACTACCAATTAGATCTAGATAATAATAACTATTATATAAATAATACAAGAAGAGTAGATAAACTAATAACAACAAGTTATACTAATATATCAGAAAGAAAATTATATATAATTAAACCTATAAAATATATATATCCAATACCTTTTAAAGAAACTAGACTAGTTATATATATAATATCAAATCGTCGATATCTTATTACTATATATTATCTAATTAGATATTCCTACTAATATCTATCCTATATTCTATATCAAATTAATACAACCTACAACTATAGACCTACTTCCTTTCTAGATCATAAACAATATACAACTATTACTACTATTAATAGACAACAAATTAGAGTATAAAGTCGAATAGATTATGACTGTCCGACACAAGAAAATTGGGAAAAGATATCGCGACAAAGCTCTCGTAAAATAGGCCGGCTAGACAGAGCAAACTTGATAGAAATTGAGCAACTTAGAAGACTATATAGTACTAGACGAGTTCGAGACCTAATACAGCCTCGTTCAACAGGTAATTCGACGGTAATTAAAGACAGAAACATATATTACTATCTCTATCGCACAAATAAAGCTAGAAAGGAGATATTGTCACGGGCCAAGGCCCGGTGTTGATCACATAGGACATGTGACCTTGGCATACTAATAGCGGAGGACCGGCGTATTAAACTCCTTTTAAGTTTATCGAACACAGTTCGTGGCCTAGTATAGATTAAATCAAGTCTTACTTTAGCCCTTTACAATTATATCTTTAATTATTATATCTTTTATTCTTGCTAAGATAATATTTTTTATTAACTAATTTATTATTATTATATAATTCGTTATTTCTATTTTATTTAATAAAGATAGATTAATAATAAAATCTATAGATATTTTTATCTATATTTATTATAGAATTAATAAGAATCTCAATAGTTTATATTTTATATTATATTAGACTAAATTTCTCTTATAAATTATATAATTTTATAGAAAATAATATATACTTTTTATTATTTTTGGTTAGAAGAATTATCGAGATAATATTATATATATAATATCTTAATCTAGATATATTATTATATAGAAATTATATATTTTTTATATAATTCTTATATATCATATATACTAAGCCCACGGCCGACACGATTTACTGCCACCCCTTCTTGAAGCAGCTGGCCCTTTGCGCTTAGTGTTGATTAAGCGATGCACTGAATCCATAGTTAGTTACTATCTCCACGGACATATCATGCAATACCAGTTAGTGTCAGCGGCACTAAGTAGTAGATGCTCACTTCATCTATATGGTAAAGGACTAATGGCTAGTTGTACTAGATGGTTAGAAACAGTGTAAGTATAGATGACTTGCTAGCCTTTGTTGATCTACCTATTCACCTTTAGTTATAAAATAAAATGGTGTTTCCCTATTAATACCTAGTTTAGGCAGGTGTTACGAACTGCTATCCAAACACGGCGAGTAACTTCCGCAAAGGTGATGCTTCTCTGAGAATGTTGCTCCTATGGGCCCCAAGCCTGTCCTCACCCGTACCAACGCCATGCTGGGCCTTCTATGGACTCTGGTTCTATTGGTGCTTACAAGGTGCGTTGAATAGAGCGCCGAGCAGGTCGGTCGCTAAGGAGCTCCCCTACTCGTTGCATGTTTTCTCGCCCTGTCGAACTGTGAAGGTAACCAAAAGATGGTATCCCAGTAAGTGCAGGAAAATCCTTCGATTATCGAAATTTGAAAAAATAAAGAAAAAAAAAATAAAAATAAAAATAAAGAAGGGGGCGGTTCTTATTATCGAGTTTCTACTGAAAAAGGAGGTTAAATGTGTGCAGTCTGTGATACGAGGCCAAGTTCAAAAGAAAGGTGGAACTGTCCATTGAAAACGAATACTCAGACGAGGAGAGAAAGGAAAAATAAGAAGGAAGGAAGCTCCCCATCATTGCGATGTATGCCGATGGTTCTGCCTTCCAACGCCGCTATGCACGTCCTTTTCTCCAAGAATTGTTGCACAGTCTGGTCTAAAATTCTGCTGAATTACGAGCTGAATAGACAACATATTTGGCTATATTATAGAAACACTAAGTCAGCCTCTGATTGGTGGAAATCTCGCCGATCGCAGTATCTTAGTCCGATAGTAGTGGGCGGTCAGGTTGGCTCAGACATCTATACCAGCTCTCACCTTGCACCCTTCTACGTGACCTATATTCCGAGAGGCGGTATATCTATGCTGCTAGGTAGTCACTTCCAAATACTAGACTTCCCTTATCCTCTGCCTTTCTGAAGGGCCCTCTTCTCCTTTTGTTTCTCAATCCTTTAGTAAAGTGTATTCGGTGTTTCCTCCCTGCTGTATCATAGTTATTCCGGCCCGATATGTCCCTCGCTCACATGTTCTTTAGCACGTTTCCCTCAACTTTTACGGATATTCTGTTTTACCCTTCAAATTGAAGCTTAAACCACAGAATCTTAATACCGAACTTCACAGCGGACAACACAACTCCCTTACATCACGACAGAAATGAAATCGCTGGAGGCACAGCCACCGGGCCTTGCCTGGGTTCAAAGAACTTTCAATCTTGAACCTCAGTGGACGGTGGAGCCCGATCCTCAGGTCATCAAGCAGACAATACAGTCGCTACTACCATCGCGCACGATCCAGGTGACCTTCCTCGCCCAGGGCGCCTTGAACAAACTCTATGACGTGAAAATAGACAATGAAGTCTTTGTTATGCGAGTCTCGTTGCCTGTTGATCCGTACTATAAAACTATGAGTGAAGTCTCAACAGTGGACTGGGTATCCCGTACCGCAAATATCCCTGTTCCTCGAGTCATCACTTATCAATCTTCACGAGAAAATCCTATCGGATTTGAATGGATCATCATGACTAGAATGCCTGGAAGACCCTTGAAAGAGCTGTGGCGCTCTCTATCATTTTCTGCAAAAATAAGTCTGGTTGAAGAGTTTGCGGCCTACTCTAGTTGTCTTTTTCGGAACCAACTCCAGGGAATTGGAAATCTCTATAGGACAGCATCTACTCTCAATGATTCCGGACTGTCTGAAGCGACCTGGCCTGCTGGAAACCCAGCACATTCTAATAAATCACCTCTATCTGAAAAGGAAAATATGCCTGCAGGATTACCAGATGTGGGCAGAATTGTTTCTATGCACTTTTTTTGGGGGTCGCATATCCTTCAGGATGTTCCTCGAGGGCCATTTACGTCTAGTAGCGACTGGATTACATCACGTCTTTCTTTTAGCGAGAAAGACTATCAATCGGTACTAGACAATTTACCATCTAGCGATCTTGAGAGCGATGATGAAGATGATGCAGATGATGCAAGAAGAACATTGGAAATTATTGGAAAATTGAAAACCCTGCTTCCATCTTTATTTCCACCAAATGGAGACAATCCGGAGCCCTCAGTCCTGGTTCATGACGACCTCTCTAGCCGAAATATTCTCGTTCATGATAACGGAGAGCTAGCAGCTATTTTAGACTGGGAATGTGTCTCAGCACTCCCTTTATGGAGTGCCTGCTATTACCCTGCATTCTTGAAAGGGCCACCGCGAAGCCTCAAGCCTGATCTACGACGATATGAACTCGAAGCGAGCGGAGAAGCCTCCGATCTCTACTGGGAACACCTATGGGAGTATGAGGTTACTCTCCTTCGTGATGTGTTTATTGATAAAATGAAAAGCCTGGAACCGGGATGGGTGGAGATTTTCCACAAGAGCCAACGTCAAAGAGATTTCGACATTGCAGTGCAAAATTGCGATAATGAGTTTGTTGCCCGGCATATACGTGCATGGATTAATGACCTCACTGCTGGGGTGGACAACCATCGGAGCCTGCGCGATAGAATTGATGAGGATTAAACTTCTCAAAGCAGCCCAATGGGAGTAAGAACTATCTATATGTGCTAAATAAAGAAATACCTGCTCTGTTCGAGAAACGCACTTACACTCTCCAACTTGACTCCAATTTCAATGCTTGGTAGACCTGATTGATGCTAGACTATACTTTTACTTTTACAGGCCGATAGTGTCGATTGGACAAACGTATAGCTGATTACTACCTTTCGGACTAGGTCAAGACCATTCAGGAAAACTCCCATCTGGGCCGGAAGCGGAGCGAAGGATCCAATTCTTTGTGTCTGAAAAAAAAAGCAAACTTCACAGTCGCAGTAAAAATGCGATATTAACTTTAAAGAGGCGCGTATGCCATTCTACTTGTTCAGACTTCATCGCCCAGCGACCTAGAAGTAATGTTGTGACAGGTTTCAGAACATCGAAACTTGCGTACATACATAAAGTATATAACAATTCTCTGTCAGATAAATGAGTGTTCTTCACTTCTATTTACTCATTCCTAATATCTCTCTTCTCTCTCAATCTCCCCGCTTTCCAATCCACTGGAAACACCCCAAAAGTAAGTCCCATGTATCCCTTCGATGTCCGCCCTCTGCCGGCCAGGCCATGTATATTTGGCCTAGGATTCCCGTCATCAAATCTTCATATTGGCCAGAAGCGCCACCCGGATTTGCTCGGGGGTCCATGACCCATCGGTAGGGACTAGCGTGTTTGCGATGGTCGCCCCCTTCTCTCGCTGCAGTGTGGAAATGGTAGTCTGGTTGTTGATTTGAACATGCAGGTTGTAGTATTGAGGATCACCGGTGGTGAGCTAGAGACAGAACAAAATTAGCTGGTTTAAACTTAGACAAGGGAAAAATAGGCACATCAAACTGGGCTTCACTAGGATAGGAGAGGAAGAGTTTGTATTCTATGGTCATACCCCTTGATTATCCAATCGAAAATCGGCATCGCTATACAATGTATGCTCACCACTAGTAAATCCGGATAGTTTACCATCCGGTATACCGACGATGAAGGCCTTGAGGGCTTTGCTAGCCTTTCCCATAACGCTGAAAGGTTTCGAGGAGGTTGTATATGCCTATAAGAATATAAAAGCTGGGTAGTATTTTACAAACACAAATGCGATATATCGGGCCTCTTATAATACTACGTGGAGCCATAAAGTCGCTACCCCTCACATTCCATTTCGACGGCAATTAGGATTTCGCATTAATTTATCCCTGCTTACTCTGAGGCACTGTTAGCGCGCGGCAAGAACTGTCCATTCCTTGTCCGGTCATTATATCTGGAACTCGGAACAAACATGCCAAAGAATTTTGCAGAATATCTATCCACCTGTTAAAATTTGAAGCCATAAGTGTTTTTACTAGTATGTAGAACACCAAAACATGCTATATGTACTTTCACTCTTGAATTGGTGAGCCTCCTCCGGCAGGAAATCAGGCGATTTGGACTATATATTCTACTGATCAGGGGAGAGTCAATGAGACCATATGCGGCGAAACTTGTGCGGGGTTGGAGCGTTTCATCTATTTTAAGAGGCTCCAGATCTATTACTTGATTGACTTACTTCGAATGAATTTCGAAGAATAAAGTGGCCATCAAAAAAAATTAAATGTAGGAACATCTGGACTCGAATCTGGACTCGACATACGTACCACCTACTGGCTAATGTCATCTGGTTAGACGAGGCGCCGTTTTACAAATGATGAGACAGTTCAATCATTACTTCATTAAGAAAGTGGGCGGCTAAGTGCATTTAAAGGGGTTATTCTCACAGTCTGACCTTATTAGGATATCCTTATGTTATCTCACTATGACCTCTTGTTTTGATCTTCTATCGGGGCCCCATTGTGCGGATCTACCACCTACCTTTTTCCAATAACCAATTGTGAGGACTTTGTAACCGCTTACGTTCGGCGCGAAGAGTTTTTTTGACTTCGACGAATAGAATTAACCGTGCCCTTCGTCGCCCCACACCTGGCTGTATAGGTGCTCCCTACACCAACGTATTTTCCCACACGAACGTGCATATCCCACTAAAAATCTCTCTATTTTCCACCCAATAGGGCTGATACACAAATAGATGGAAAGAGCCATATTCCAAAAATATGAAGCCGCCAAGCAGCAAAAGAAGCCCAATATGGCCACTTTGGCGCGGGAATGGGGCGTTTTTGCCCCCTGGCTACGCGCCCGCATGGCGAGCTGTCTATCTCGATTCGCCAACCACAACTGTCACAAAGCGCTGAATGATGTAGAAGAGAAGGGATTGATTCAGCGGACCCGACGTATTGATTCCATGGGCATATTACCCACCTACAAGATGATTGAACAGTCTGCGAATCAGATATTGGGGCGAAGCGCGGTATCCAAAATGCGAGCCGAAACGGCCTCCAAAACAACATCGAAGAGGCCAGCCACAACCACTGCAGAACTACAATATCAAACACCGCCAAAGACGCCGGCAAAATCACCAAATGAGGCGTCAATTCAGCCCCTGAAGGTAGAAAAAAACTGGGTTTACAGCTTTGTTAAACGCTTGCCAGAGAATTTGTAGGTTTGCAAGCAAAAACCGCTTGAAAAAGCGCATTTTGACGCAAGAGCAGAAATTCGGTTAACGGTTGCTTGGGGTCGCTTCGTATCGAGTCTCGAAGAACCGGCCCCGTGATACATCTCTTCACGTAGTCGAAGTTCCCTTGCGTTTTTCCTGAAAAGAAACCAGACCCAGAAGTCATTGCTCGATGACAGGGGTCCTTCCCAACTCAGGGCTCGCAAATAGCGCATTTGCTATGCGACGGAATGTGGCCCTTCGGCCAGGGCGCGGCGTCGGATGGAGCGGCATCTCCGTCGAAATTAAAGGGGCAGTGCATAGGGCCAAGGCGCAGGAGGCGATGGGGGCGAGAAAGGAAGGGATGGTGGGTGAAGGAGAGGAGAGAGTGCGTCGATAAGAGGAGTGGGAGAGGGCGTGGTCTTTTATAGATGTGGGGCAATAGGTCGGGGCGACAGAAGGGCGGTGCAATAGGCAGCGCCGTTTCCGGCGCCCCGCTTACCGTGTCAACTCATACTTAACATCCTTCTAAACAAGACTATAATGATATAAATATCTATTAATCTATATAAAAGAGATCTCTCTCTTATTTTTATTAATAGAATAAGATAAATTAATCCAGAATCTTTAACAATTTACTACTAATTTACTCCCAATCTATATTAATTATCTATTATAAATATAACTAATTAAGCTATATTACTATATATTATCTTAATTGATTAAAGGAAAGGGTCTCTACTCGAGTATAAGAGCTAATCGATAAAATAGATATAAAAAATAAAGAAGAGCTATAGATTCGGCGATATCTCTAACTCTCTAGTCTTATATATAAATAAAGTTATAATTTTATATCTCTACTATTATAACAGGTTCGATCTAGACTAATATCGATCTAGATATAGATACCGAATATAACCTTATCAATATCAAATTTATCTATAAATATAATCTTTATCTAACTAAGATCTTTGTTTCTTGTCTTAATATTATAAACAATTTAAGATATCTTATTTATAGATATTATATAATCTCTATTATATTAACCAATTCTAGAAAGACTATCTACCGACTTAAACAGATTTATATTATAGTTAAGCGGTATATTATCCTAGAAAATAGCCTTATATTATTATTAATAACCCTTCATACCAATTTCTATATATATATTATCTTCTATACTAATTTCTTCTAGTTCGAGATCGATTCTAGATCAGTCTAACTTATATTAGTACAACAATTCAAAAAGAAGATACAGAATTGTATATATATATATATATATTATAATCCAACTTCTCGAAGAGATTTATAAATCTAAGTATATATATATCTAAAATATAATACTAGATTTAATCTCAGATCTATTAATATTATCTCCCAAATTAGACTAGTTTTAGGATATATTCAAGCTAAGAAAGTTACAGAGCCTTCTCTTATATAGATTAACAGACTATTATATCGAGATATTGCTAAAAGAATAATTTCTATTTAGACCTATTTATCTATTTTTATAGAAAGAATTAGACGTTCTTTATAAATATATCGATAAAGATATTAAATTAAGATAGATCTGTCTATCTTAGAATCCTGCGGAAGTCTTAATCTTTTTTATATCTAAAAAAGATAGGAATTTATAGCTTTATATAGATTATAGGAGATTTAATTATATTTTGATTCGGAATTGTTATTCTTTATTATTAATTATAGAAATATTAGATTATCTATAAAAAGTCTAATAGTTCTCGAAGATAGATATCTAGAGCATTTACTACTAGATCTGTATTATATCTGGGAATAAATAGAAAATTATATTCTGAATATAATATAGCTATTTTGAATATATAGTTATACTATTTAGTCTAATAAATATACTAGTAATATTCTAAAGTTATATCTATATTATTTATCTTAATAATATCTTAATTTTCTTAAAAACTTGTTTAGAATATATCTATTATCTCTATTAAGTTATCTAATAAATATATGAATTCGAACATTTTATCTTCTAAATATGTTTTCTATTAATTTAAGATCAAATTCCTAGATTTTATTATAGGTGGTATACACTAGAATAATATTATTAATATAGAGAATTTAAAAACTTTTAAAAACTTTTTTATCAAAGAACTATAAAAATTATACTTATTACTCTTTATTTATTAGATAATTACTACTCTATCTTATAGAATTAAGTTTATAAGATCTAGAAATAATATTAAAAAAAATAGATTAAGTCTTATATATTAAAAAATAGCTTAAAAAGAATGATCCAAGAATAAAAATACTTAAAAATAAATACTAGATAATAGTAAAATTTTTCTTACTAGTCTTAAATCTAATAGAGGAAAAAATAAATATTATATTTTATAATACCTAATATACTAAGTTTTCTAAGATACTAGATATATCTATATTTTTAGAATAAAATCTTAAAATTTAAATAAGAATATATTATAATAAAATAGAAATTATAGTTAAATATAAATTAGTTCTAATAACTATTATATAATATATATTACTAGCTATAATAATAATAATATATTTCTCTTGATTAGATCTTAAGTAATTCTAGAAATATCTAATAAATATACTAACTTTAATAATACATTTGATTATCTATAATTAATCTATTATAATCTTTATATATAAAAAATAGTCTTATCTATTTTTAGAAAAACTTGAGATAAAAGTAAGAAATAATATTAAAGACTCTTAAAAAAATTTATTAGGTCTATTTTATAAGATCAGATACTATATTAACTAATATAAAATGTAATATTTATATCCTAATAAATCAAAAACTAGTACTTATCTTAAAATAATAATTCTAGCTTAAGAGTGAGTATCTTTTTAAACTAATTTCTTTCTAAAGATTTAATATCTAAGATATTTTATCTATTATTTATCTGACAAAATTAATATTAATCTTTAAAAAATATTATCTAGCTTGACTCTATAATAACTATATCTCTAAATCCTAATAAAAATCCTATTCTTAAATAATAACTTATTAAATATTTTCATACCAAATATATTATATTCTAAAAAAAACTCAGACAGCTATAAAACTAATCTAATAAAAATAAAAATCCAATTAATATCGTAAGAACTATTATTAATTTCTTTATAAAATAATATCTAAAACCTAGATATCTATGATAATATAGATAATATATTAAAAAATATAAATACAACTAAAAATAAAAGATTAAGAATTTAAAAAAATAAATAAAATAAATAAAATAAATAAAATAAATAAAATAAATAAAATAAATAAAATAAATAAAATAAATAAAATAAATAAAATAAATAAAATAAATAAAATAAATAAAATAAATAAAATAAATAAAATAAATAAAATAAATAAAATAAAAAATCTTATAATAAAATTTACTAATCTAACTTTATACTAAAAAAATAAAATATATATCTAAAAAATTATAGTTCTAATATATCAACTAGAAAATCTCTATCAAAAAATAATAATCTAAGCTTATTCTAGTCTATATACTAACTAGACAAAGTACTATAATTTCTACTATTAATAATATAGATTATACTTTTTTATAAAAATAAAAAATAAAAATTAGAGAATTTTATAATCTCGATTAATTATATCTTAAAAATTTCAGATAAACTAAAAAAATAACAAAACTCTAGATAATTTAAAAAAGATACTAAGATATACTAAATACTAGTAAAAGAATATCATAATTTTATTAATACATTCTTAAAGATTAAGTCTAGTATATTATTATTCTATTTAAAAAAAATAGTTATTAAATCGAACTCGAAAATATAGATATCGAGTGATTAATCTTTAAAATATTATTTACTCTATAAGATATCTTTTAAAAAACTTTTAAATTATAAAAATCTATATTAAAAATAATCTCTAAAAAAGGTTTATAATCCTAAACAAGATCTTCTAACATAATTCACTCTCAAGTAGCTATCTACTACTAAGTGGTTATCCTACTAAATATAATTGATTAAAATATATTTATGTTAATTATAAGACTATTAAATTCAATAAACTAAATTCAAGTTTTATTAAGATATATAATCAATTTATATCCTCTAACTCCATATACACTATATATCAGCCGCACCTTTATATATAGCCAAGGAGATTCTAGACCTAGCCCTGTTTCAGATAGTATTAAAACTTAAATTAGCTAGTTCTAGCTCTTTTATTAATTAAGATATCTCTAAAATTAAGAGACTTTTATTAAAGATAATTTATCTTATAGAATAAGCTATTTTTTGTTTCTTTTTCTTATTTTCACTATATGATTTATTTATTTCCTTTCAGAATAAAATAGTCTCTTATATTATCACTTAATAAGCTTTTAAAACTTGATTAATTATAATATTAAGCAGATTTAGTAGACTTTTTAAATATTGTTTTAATAATCTTTTAATCGAAAAGACTTGACTTTATAATTAAATAAAATCTAAAGGAGTTTTAGATATCTAATCAATTTCTTTATTTAAAAGAGATAATAGAGTTCAAAGTCGAATATTAAGTTTTGAAAGAACTTGATTAAGATTTAAGGATATTATATTAATAATAGCAAAGCTATTTTTGATAACATCTAGTTTAAAGATCTCTTTTTATATAACTAGATAGACTTTAAGAAAATCAAACTTATTAATAAAATTAGTTCTAATCAGTTTTCTAATCTAATTTAACTAGTTAACTATATATATATTTTAATACTATGAAATAATTAATATCAAGAGATTATAATATATATAATAAATATATAAATATATAGATTTTGATAATATTTTTTTTTTTAAATATTTAATCGAACTTTTCTATTGAATAACTTTTATAACTATTAATTAAAAATCAATATTTTTCTTATATATATAAAAAGATAGATAAAATAAAGATTTTTTTGAGCTAATAAGGACTAATTTTATT